GTTTCACTGATTGTGAGTACAATCAATTTTACACTATCCTTTTATATATCGACATAGTATAGTAATAAAACGTTATCTTTTATTATTTACACGTGCATTTCTACGATTTGATCTAATTTTTAAAATAAATTTCTATTTAATTGATCAGTATTTGTGTATTTCTGAAGTTACACAAATGAATTAGAGAATATTAAATAACAGTATAATGTTGAATAGAGAAGTAGATATTGATAAATATGTCTCAGAATACAAATCTCATCTATTGAATTTATTATTCGAAATTGCTGGCAAGTTTTATTTGTGTCTGTGCATGTGAACGAATCTCGAAGCTTCCAGTGACATTTACAAATTTTACACAGGCCAGAAAAAGAATACTTAACATTCCACGAAACGCGAAATCGGATTCAAGGCAATCCATTCCTGCAATAAATTTTTAGTCTGCTCTCTTTTAACTTGCTTTAAGCTCATATATATCTGATAACATTTATTTTTATTCTAAAATCGAATCGAATGATCGAAATCCATTAGAAAAAATTAATGACTTTTAAAAAAACAATAAAAAGTATAATAGTTATTATAAATAGATAGTAGTTCATATTTATATTACGAAATTATAAAAAAATCATGTTTTTTCATTTATATAACTATTAAGAATATAATTATACAATCGTTAAGAAATAATTATTATTATAATTTTATCATTGCTAAAAAATTCATTATATAATTTATACGCGTACTTTAACTCATTATTAATTACTTGTAATAACTAAACTTAATTATCATCTAACTGAATTATTTGTTCCAACAAACTTAAATCCCAAAAGATTTCCGAACGCTTGTCCTTATCGAAAATCATCGGTAATACATTTTCTAACGTTTGGAAACTTTTTATTGCTCGTTTGAAAACATAAAACTTTTGTCGGTGGAATTTCATTTTTATCTACGAAAGTTTCCGATACAGCCTTCAGTGGTACACTCTCCGCAGAGAGTGGTCTTCCTCGTAAACTTGAATATATCGCAACAAGAAGAAAACGCTACATCGAAATTATTTCCGTTTGCTCTATAAAACTATAAAGTTTTGCGAAAATCGGGGAGGATCATGAGAGTTTCCTATTGCTCGATAAACGACGAATTCAAGAACTTCACGAGAAATTCACGAATTTCGAGAGGACGTTTAATATTTGACGTAAGTCGGAGACGATGACGATTCGGGAGTGTCATTGAAGTAGACGGGATACTTTATTTGCCTATACTTTCGACGTAGACGAGCAAACCTATGAGGTAGTCTTGACACGGTACTGTCTCAAGTCTACCGTCTGGCAGGAGTATTTCAAAGGAAACGGTGGGAAGACGAGATTTCGCTTCGTGAGAGAAGATAGAAGAAGAAACGGGCCGAGAGTGAGAGGGGCGAGAAGCTTTATTTTGTCTTGGCGAGGAGACACGTCCGGAGAGACGCGCCCGTAAACTCTCCGTTTGCCTCCTTGAGACGCACGCTCTGCTCACCCCTCGCGTCCTACGACCTGCCACCTTGTCGTATATTTTCGTTGTCCGGGCCCCATTTCTCTTCGCTCCGGCATCAACAAAATACGAAGGCCGATTTGCCGGAGTTTTACGTGTCAAAATGCGTTATCGTATTGGCGGCGCATCTGCGACGGCTGTTACATCACTTTTATTCCGATTCCGCATTTCCTCCCCTCCCTCGCGTGCTCCGCATCCGCTATCGAAGAGCTGTCGCGAGGAAGGATGTATCTGACACGTGCCGAAAGTTTCCTTGCATATTCGCATCTGTTCACGAAATTTTCGTTATGCGAAGATCATCGTTGAAATGTAGAAATAGGGCGATGGTGTTAAAAATTAGTAAAGTTAAATTATAGCAAGTGAAAATCGACCAAGAAGATCCATATATAAATGAGCGAGAAAAGTCATATTTGGTTAAAGTATAGATCTTGGTGCCTACACAGAAAGAACAGTTTTACTGAACTATTTAAAAATTTAATTAGATAAGATAAATATACCAGTTAGTTGACCAGTTAGTGGATATGATTCAATTATTGGACGAAATAATTTTAGATATTAAACTTATAGTATTTAATATTTAAATGTTAAGATTTTAAAGCGACTTAAATTTTAAATAAATTTATTTATAAAAATTTAATGAAACGAATTTATTTAGAGTCGCGTTGAAAGCTCAGTATTTAAAATTTTTGTCATTTTATCTAATAATTGGTTCATATCGATTAATTGGTTTTTACATTTATACCTTATAGATCTGAAAATAATTTTGTTGGATTATATACATATATAGTAATTATGTAAGATGCAGCTCTCAAGCTGATTGCTTGAATGTCAAAACTTTTTCTAGCATTGCTCATCACGTCTGAGTTTCCTACATAATTAATTTGATGATTCAATAAAATTATTTTCGAATTTGTAGCTATCTAAATGTTTAGATACTTTAGGCAAAATCGTTCTTTTTGTAATAATATTCTATTCTAATAATATTTTTATGTGAGCTAGAAACAATTTTCTAGTTCATTCTGTTATTAAAATTAAATTATTATTTGACATTGCAACATTAAATTATTATTTAATAGGATAATATGATTTGATGAGTTGTAAGCCATTGGTATTAAGACATCATCTGTTCATTATATAAACAGATCTAATCTGACTACATTTCATAGCTGTCCGTAAAATAAATTTATCTTGTCTCATTTCTTCTAAGATTTAAGGGAATGTTACGTGCCTCTTTGTGAGTCGTCGCGAATAAGAAGGGTGGATGATCGCAATTCAGGAGGGTCGGCGCGTCAGGAATCAACGGCGGAGTGGCCTCGTAAAAGCGACTAACAATGTTCAACGAGCCGTTGTGTTGTTGGTTCGGTGCACTCAGGTGAGAGGCCATTCCTCGCACGCGGCGCACGTCTAAATAAATCATCATTTCGGCAAAGTGCCGCTGCTCTGAATAAAACAGCGCACCGCGAAGTGCACGGTTTTAGGTCGGCTTAGTGGCGTTAACGGAGCGTACGAGGGCGCGCGCAAGAGCCGGTTTTCGTGGATTAATTAGCCATTCATAAGCCACCACCGAATCCACCGGCGCCATTTCCTGGAGCGCACCCTGCGCATATCGAACAGCAGGGTTCTGCCGTTGCAGGGAAATCGGAAAAAGAAAAGTTTGACCTATCACCCTTCGCGATAAATTATTAGGTTGAGCCCGGGCTTTCTCTGTGGTCGACCGGCGCGACGGTTAAGTTTTCACGACGATCAGGGATTCCCGTGTAACGATTCCACTCTTTTTCTCATGTCCACGTATGTACATGTACATATGTTACGAAGCTACAAAGCAGTATCTACTCCATGTGCTGGGACCACTTTCGAGAACGCGTCGACAAACGAATGAAGCCCTCTTTGCCGTCCTTTGCGTCATTCGCGAATAAATGCGTCCGTTGTGCAGAAAGCGACATGAAGTTTAGTATTTTGTTGCAGCGCTGCTTTAATGTAAAGGCTTGACATTCTGACTGAAAGCGACGGTGATGAATATTTGTACGACAAATATAATAATCACTTACGTATATATGATAATATGTTGGCCCTTTAGTTTCAATTAAGAATCAATTAATCTTTTCAGGATTCGATTTATGTCCATTTCATACCAATGAAGATTAACTTTGACCTTGGTTCAACTTATTCTTCATCTTTTTCTAATTTTCGTTTCTAACAATGTAATTTAATTTTAATAATCTCGGTTTAACTAATTCTTCATTTTTTTCTAAGAATTAGAAAAAAATGAAGAGTGAATTAAATCAAGATTAAAATTAATCTGCATTGGTAAAAACGAGTATTATGGAGATAAAGATTTAAAGAGAAATTTAAAGAGAAATACTCTTTATTGTTAAAACAATTTTGTCGCAATAATGGATGAGATGGAATTTAAGAATTCTGGAATATAGCATTTTTTAAATTGTAGGCTATCAAAATAATTGGAAGATGCGATTTTCATATGTCATTTCTTATTATTTTCAATTGTACTTCCTCATATTTTAATTGTATTCTTACTTTAACAGCAAAAATATGTCCTTGTGTTTGCGTGTCGCAAATAAAAGAAACTATTTCATACGTAATGGTTTGAAAGAATTAAATTCGTCGCCGTTTCAGAAATATGATATACGTGTGCGAGTCATAAAAGTACAGCGATAAAGAATAAATTTACCTTCTCTAAATGAATATCTTATCGGTGACAGTCGCGCTTGAAAGTTGTAACGACGCATAATCCTTGTTTTAATGTTACACTTACGCGTATAGATTCATAGATTTTTTTCTTTCGGATCTGGTGATAAGTCAAGTTACTTTATTGTACAGATATATTTTCTGTAGCAAATTTATATGTATATGTCCGATCGTCTTTTCTCTTGATTGCCAGACGGGGAAATATATTTAAACCACGTTTTGTGGTTGTAGCACAAGGGTAATATTTGAACTTCCGAGATGAGGATAATGATAAGCACGAGATCGATGTTATTTCCTGCTTAACTATTATTCTAGTCATTAATTTCACAACATCGTGTATTATCAATGTGTAATTCATTTCGAATTACTCAAATTACTCATTACTTATGAAGCACAAAATTCATCGATTGTAAAAACTTTAAATTATTGTATTGAATTACAATGGAAAATATCTATACTTTTAAAAAATATGTTATTAAAATGGTTAAAATCATTTTGGATTTTAATATTAAATTTACCATACTGCCAAAATCATTATTTCAACCATAGATATTTCAGTACAATTAAACTTCGAATTAAAATTCCATTGAGATTCTCGAATTATGGGACAAATAATACAATATTTTATTATTCATTTTTAATTTTGAAATTCAATTCACGGAGTACTTCTTATCTTTAATTTATTATAAATATAGGCTTTCTACAATAAGCTACTTTATTTAAGCTAAATCTTAAGCCGTAAGAAATTGACCAATCATAGTCGATTACTTTTCTCACGTTGGATTGTAATTGGTCAATTTCTTACGGCTTAAAACTTAAAGCTTATATAATGGCTTAATGTAGAAAGCCCATTACTATAAATGCTCCAAAATGATTTTATTTTTACTAAAAACAATATTTCTAAAATAATACTATACTATACTGTAAATAATATAATATAACTGTAATAGAATTAAAAAAATATTGTGTGTGAATTATTTTAATAATTCTGTCTCTTCTATCACATCATCTTATTTATTAACTACGTTTTGGTTTATAAGCAGGCAATGATTTATTTATTTTCATCAGTTATATTTCATAAACAAAATTTCAATATAAATAAATAATTGCGTTATATTATATTGTAAATTAATTTATGTGATTACTGAGCATGATTACTTATATCTCTCGTAAAAGGGTAACATCGGGAAACCGCGCAATGAAGAATGATTTGGTACGTAGGTGGCGTAAACGTGAGAAAATTGGACGACAGTTGGTTGTGGGCTTAATTACAATTTTCATGGAACAATACTACTGTGTATCCTCGTGCGAAAACCGTGGCCGACTGTATTTCCGGGCGTGAAACCGGGCGCAGTTACGCGGTTACGCCATAGACACAGTAGACTCCTTCGTCGTGGAACCATTTCGTGAGTACACTTTCGACTATTACTGTCCGTTTGTACGGAGGGTAACCGCACGCCATCCGGGCGTTTATGCATCCACATGCAGTCGTAATATTTGTTAGGTGTTAGCAGAACAATACGAATACGTTCAAGTTGGGAAGTTTCACTTGCGCCCATGTGACATTATATTACATTTCGTAACACATGGCAACGCGCGGTCTTTGTGTACATCGTATACATCAACATTTAAACTTTCTATCGCATATTACAAATTATTGACTCTAAAACAAAACGCGACGCAACAGTCGTATATATTATAAATTATATTATATTGTAAAAGTTCAAGTATGTGCACCCGTAATATCGCAGCATAATAGACACAAAGTCTCTTTATTAAGCAGAAACACGTTTTACGTGACACGGTCGCTCGTTGCGGGCGCCCTTTATATTGCGCTACACGATATTTCAGAACTGAATCACGCAACGCTCGCACTGTAAACAGGGGTTGCTGGTGGCGGGTAACAGCAAAGACGAGGCAAGTACTTTGAACCGTTCGCTCGCGACGATTCGATTACAACCGGGTTAGAAATGGGGCACGTGGCTTAGACGTTAAACGCCACCTAGGTCGACTAAACCGACGAATCGCGGTTTTCCTGCACGGTATATGGAAGAGAGCCGTATAGCGTATAGTGTATTTGCAGAGCGAGAGCGCGCGAGAGCGAGAGAGAGAGGGGGGAGGGGGAAGGTAGAAGACGGATAGACAGTTCCTTCCCCGGGATGTAGAATCTTGTCGCTCCAACAGTAAACCGTCTCTGCGAGCGACACGTTGAATTCAGCCGGCTTTGCATTCATGTACATTGGTAACGATGTCGCTACAAATACTATTAGAAAATTGAGCTGCTTCATGAATTCCCGAGATTCACGCGTCCACGAGAAAGTTTACCGGCGTAAATGGCGAATTCTCATCGATAACGATATGTCGGGACTCGTTGAAACGCGCTTCTGTTAACTCGTACGATATTCTTTAGCAGACAATATGTGTCACGAAGAGGATTCGACTACGCGCTACATAAATGGATTGCATGTCTCCAATTGCAACGCTTGTTACTTATTTATACCGACTCCTGCGATCAATTCATTTAGCATAATGTTGCTCCCTATTTCATACCGCACCACGCTTTTTCCGTAGAATTTTATTATGTGACCGCAAGATTGGAGATTATTTTAAGACATACGAAGGGAATGAAAAAATAATTGCACGAAATAAAGAGGATAGCAATAGTGAGAGAAAATAGCACATTATGAAGGTCGTGTTTGAAAAGTTTTGAGCCTCAACATGAAGATGATATTACTCGTCAAAACCATTTTTGGTACTACAAATCGTACTACAATCGTACATGCTTTGAAAGATACCTGTGAAAATTGTAGCCATTGTGGATGCTCAGTTGTTGTTTGACAGTCATTTGTGCCAGTCGATGTCAGTGATTTTGTAAAAATGGAAAAAATCGAATATACATTTCCAAGGCTCTGTTGTCGGTTTAAGCGAAACGAGTCAAATTTTTTGCGTCGATTAATAACTGTTGATGAAACTTGGATTCACCACTTCACTCCTGAGACGAAGAAACAGTCAAAACAGTGAATTACATCCGTAGAAGCGTTGCAGAGCAAAACGTCAACTATCATTTGAATGGGTTAAGGGATGGGAGCATCGCTGGGAAAAGTGTATCGACTTAAAAGGAGATTATGTTGAAAAATAAAACTGAATTTGACCAAAAAAATACTTGTTTCTATGTTAGGCTCAAAACTTTTCGAACGACCCTCGCATACATCGCTTTTTGACAGCGTCAATTTAATTTCAACTTGATTTCAATATCTAATTTAAAGATTCATATATTGTAAAATTTAACAAGCTGCAGTTGTTCTAAGTTGATTAATTTCATAATGTCAAATTATAAATATAAAGTATTGTCTCCGATAAAATTGCATCGCTCCCGAGAGCTGATCGATCTGCTACACGATTGCACAGTGTCCTCTGCTTTATAGAGGACACCGGCGCATACAATTTACATCCCTCTGAAAATTTATGTTGTGCGCGCCCTATTTTATCTGATGGAACAGATGTAGCGCAAACGTAAGCGAATTCGCGATCTCCCTTTCCTAGCGTGCGAGAATATGGCTCTGCACCTAGAAAATGTATCATGCCGAGACATTATGTGTCGCGGGAAGTTTGAAAGAATGGCATTAGAAAATTTCAGTCTCTCACGTAACTTTCTACAGAAGTCGAGACGGTACACAGGGATGTAACCGGTAGGACTGCGTCCTCAATCTTCTTATGTGCACTTTCATTCGATCAGCGTAGCCGCAAGCTTAATCTTCCCTGTGAGTTTTCTCACCGTGAAAACGGAAAGCACGGGTAACGACGGGACATACATTACGAACCATCGTCTCGTCCCGCACTACATTGTACTTCATGGGAAATATTTCACATCCGCCGTATATTATCGCTACATCGTCGCTATCACCGCCGTAGAAATAATATCATAAATCCTGGGATTCGTGGAAATTCCCCGCGGAATTCTATGCACATCGTTGAATCTTTCAAAAATAACGTCTGCTTTTGTAAGTTTGTATATCTAGATTTGTTTTCTTGATATATTGGCATTTAATTCTATGAAATAGAATGTAAATTAATCGTATCGTGTACTGTATAAAGATGAGATTTAACTATATATTGAAAACATAACACATGTGAAAGAAAATATCATTTTAAAAATTAAACTATGAATTTTTTGAAAGGAATTTTATTTTAGATAAAAATTTTTATGAATTTTGAATTTTGAAAAAAGACCAGGAAAAAGTCTCACTTAATGGTTAAATCCTTATTAAAGCTTTATTTGCTTTTTGGTTGGCTTATTACGTTTAACTTGCTTTATATCATCATCATGAGAAATAAGTGAATAAAAAAATCAACGAACACATGAATTATTATACATTGTCGCCTTAATACATCGCGGTATACAATATTGTCGGTCCTGCGCGTTTCTTTATGCGTCGCTTATGGAGTCACGCGGGGAAAGAAAGCCGTGCAAAATTTCATCCACGAAGTATCGCAACGAGCCAACCTGCTAGATATTTTTTCGCATAAAAGCTTCGCGTATTCCGTTAAAATAATGAGCGTCTCAAAAAAGACAACGTACTTCCGTTGTTTCCGCTACGCCGTCGACTCCGAAAGCGTCCGACGGCTCGCAATTGCAACTGCACCACTGAGCAGCTGCTGTACCGGCTTTATTGCTCGATCTTTTATACGTGCGTAGTGTACACGTTGTCTGGTCTTCCGACGTATGTGGGCCAGGGTTAGAAACCTTTTCCAAAAGACACAAAAGAGGAGCCCTCGTCGACAGGTCGGCTGCGGTTTTAGCGGCTTGCATTTGTCTTTTTATTAGAGTGTTTATCTTTCGTTGTCGTCAAAAATAGGACAGTCACTGAACGCAGTTTAGTCAATTATCGCTTAATAATATATTAACAAATAATTGAAGAGTTTAGTTGAACGAAATCATTATATCTTTTATATTTTCCGTGCATCAATTATTTTAATTTTCTTCAAAATTTCATATTTCAAAATTTTAAATTTAGATAGTGACTTCAATAAACAATTACTTCTATTTATAGCTGTAATTAATTAACACATGCCGTATTGCGGAATATTATAATTAGAAACACATTTTGACATCATATCTCTTTTATTTAAAAAATAGAATTAAGTGTTATTATATTACTTTACAAGAGATTAGGGAAATAAATAAGCGTGTTTTTGTTTTGCGATATTCAAGATTATTATTTTTTTATCTGAATACATTTTTTAGTTACGTATAATGAGCTGTCTGGTAGATTTTTTTTGTTTAAATAATTCTTGCGTGCATAGGATTTTGCGAACGCGTTCGTAAAATCCACTACTGGTTTTATTGTCACGCTGGCACGTCCAATCTCGGTACGTTTGACCGAATTACCGGTGGCGATCCGTTTTAAATCTGCCTTGACAACTACAGACGTGACGGGTGATCTGATGCAACTCGAATAACAGCCTCTACATATAGCAGAGTTTCAAAGCGCGTGTATATATAGTACGTGTGTCGTGTCGCTGAATATGCGGGTTACAAAACATTGTATTTGTAATGTTTTCCCTCTTTTTTATCTCTCTATTTTTTGAGTGGGATACTTAATAGTTTTCAAAATTTTCCCGAACATCTAACTGTTTTCAAAAAGTCTACATAGAAATTACAAAAACTGTTGATTGATTTCATATATTTTATACCTTTTTATTCGATTAGAGTGAATTGATTTTAACAATTTTAATACTAGATATTAATTTATTTTAACAATTTCAATGCTAGATATTTTGATAAGCGATAGAAAAATTTTTATATAGTTCTCTTATAGAAAAAACTTTTTTATCGAAATATCTAGCATTCAAATTATGTAAATATTTACGTATTTTTTTTATTAAGCATGTATATTATTAGTTCTAATATTTCATTATATATAAATAGCTCTTTTTCCTCCATAGTTTTACATTAATACTTTAACGTAAAAGAGCAACCGCTATGTTTTCAGTCTGACTAATTATGATTTAAATGAAGCGCGCTGTGTGTATTTCTGAAACAACCCTCTACATCGTTTAGAAAGTGAGCAAATAAATCTCTCGGGCGTTAATGCTAATTCTACTGATACATATGGGTGCAATCGCCGACAATATGACGCAGTACTTTTAATTATACGTAAAAATCAAGGAAAAGAAGATATACATGGCAGGGAGGCTGTTTGTTGGGCACAGAAGTACCATGGATCGTGGTACGCAGAGGAGCTAGCCTTGTCGTCACAGCGCATATTTTATACGACAATTTGGCCGTAAGTGGTAAGAACGTAAAGTTAACAAGTTGAGGGGGGTCGTCTAACAGAAACAAACGAGAAACTAGGACTCTCGGCACAGGTGGTAGCGGTGGTGTATTGCGTCGTGCGGGAATGAGAGAGATAGAAGTTACCTTCGGGAGCGAGATTTATGAGTGTTGCCGACGCGAAAAAGTTTACATTTGCTTGTGTCTCCTCTTCATTCCCTCCCTCTTTTCCCCCTCTCTCTTTCCCAAAAAAGACCAACAGAATTGACGGCATCGAGAGGTAAGAATTGACGGTGTGATAAAACGCAGCCGCGATGTGGATGCTGCAGATTTGACATTTACACGTGTTGTAGCGAGACTGTTTTGCGATCTTTCGCTTATTTCTTGTAAGGGATTTAATTTCTTCGAAATTTTATTGATATGATAAAAATAAAAACTCCTAGATATATATATATATATATTAAAAAAATCTAAAGTTCTTAAGAATTTATTTAATTACAGATGATCGAAAATAAAGTACTTTTATTGCGTAAATTAGTTTCAGAAAGAACAATAAATAACAAAGTCTTTGTTTTCATATAATTTCTCTCAAATGGATTTTATTTGAATCGATATCAAACACTTAATATCAGAATAAAATATCTAGCAATAAAATGAAACTGGCAATAAAATATCAATCAGTTATTTAATATCATTTTATTTTCATCGTTTACTTATATTTTGTTCTTCATAAATAATATAACCTCTGGTGTTATAATTGATACAAATTATATTATACCACATAATTTTTATTTCATATTTTGCATAATTTTCTGCGCATGGAAGTTTGTAGCTGTGTAGTTTCCATTCCAAGCTAATATTGCAAAGAATTATAAAAGAAGACTACAGAATAGCGTATCTCATTTGTTTTTTGAATGACCTGGTTTTTTACTATTCATGCTGTAAAAACTCCAACGAGAGACTGCCGAGTGCATCATCGACGACGTGCAATTGAAATTTCTGACAAATCGACATTCGTGTGTGCGTTGCGTAAACGAGCGCGAGTATTGCGGCTGGCTGAAAAGTCCGGCTAGGGAACATTTCGCGAGCAAACTTTTTTAATTAAATGGATACTCAGTTACGTGGCGGTACCGATCAATTTAATACACGCGGCTGACGAGAGTAGGGGGAAAGGGGGTCGTCAAGAAATTTAATTTTCGGAAGCACCGCTCGTGAAAAAAGCAATGATGGAAGTAAGGTTCGATAATTTCGGAAAATTCGTCCGAAGCCCGGACCGACCGTTTTGCACACGTTTGGTCGGCCGTAATATCGAGGTCGACGATTGCGAAAGTCGATAGCTCTATCTTAAAACGTAAATTGTGTTACCTTCGAGTTCTAGTCCGCTGCGCTCGAACACTTCGCTGCGAAATTACGTTTACAGAAAATATCAGTATACCTATTCGTAAGAAATATAAGTCCGGAAGATATTAACCATCTTCTGTTGGCGCGAAGAAAAGAAGGAAAAATATCAGTTATTGGCTTTACAACAATGAAAGCGAGAACCAAAGAAAGCAACGAATGCAATTACCGATATAAAAATAGAAGGCACCTATAGAAAGAAGTGATAAAGGCGTGAATTAAAAGGAAGATAAATAGAAACAACGAGAGAATCGCTGAACCACGAGAATTTAGGAAAATGCGGACGAAGGATGTTCTGTTGATAAGACGAATAAAGAAAAAGATAATCGAAGACCGATACTTGGAGAGGGATACTTAGGGGAAGAATAAGGAGAAAGAGGAATCTATAGGAAGAATCTATTGTTGAAAGAGGTATCGCGCGTAGGAGTTGGGTGGAGAAAGAGGGATAAGGAGCACATAGAAGGAAATAGAAAGAAGTGTCCAGGAGAAACGAGAAGATCGTTCTCTGGTGTATCGAGAAAAGATAGAAGAACCTCGGCCTAGACTTCGCGTTTTCCGTCGACTATCAAGAACCTCGACCTTTCGAGCAATCGACAGCAAACATTTCGTGAAACTTCGTTCAACCCCGCTAACCGCTAACTCGTCGGTAGCCGCACAAAGGGGAGTAACAAGAAACGTAAGCTCGATTTCTCGTGTGCTTTCCAGTAGAGACATCGGTGAGCAAAACGTTTTCCCGTCGTTTGTACTCTTTCCGTTTCTCTCTTTACAAGATATTTCAGAAATAGCGTTAAAATCAAATTTTAATGATGGACTGAATTAAATTTCAAGACAATCTTCTCTTATCAAAAATGTGATTAGCCATAGACTTTACGTTATTCAATATTAAATACCTTTATAGTTAAATGTAAGATTATATATAAAATGTTCTATTGAATGTAACAGTGTAAAATTAATTGAAAAATATATTTCGATATCCATTATCTTTCTTGGAATTATAGATTTGCCATTTTCTTTCTATTTTCAAACAATATTTATTTATTCGTGACGCTTTTATCGAATATATAATCGAAATAAACGAACTTGAAGTCGATTATCATCATGATTTGATTAATCCATCTATCATATTTATTTCTATTTCATTTCTGCAGGTATCAGACAATTGTACATATGATCGATGTTACTTCTTCGACAATTACAAGAATTCTCAATTACTCGATACTTAAATGGGATATTTTTGCTTTTTGAAAAAAAGAAAAAAATAAGGACGATTTCTGACCGCTTAAAAGAAATGCCTATATGAAATATACGTAGTGTTTTAGATTTGATCTATTACGATTCTTGATACGAATAAACATAAATGAAATATTATTACGTAGGTACCTACTATTATTAGCCATAATTATTGGCTACTTAGCATTGTAAGCGCTTTTAATTGCTGCGATCATGCAAAATGAGTTAAATCCAGTG